GGGGGGGGGGGGGGGGGGGGGATGTGCGCAGCGCAGCCCTGTCCTGACCCACCAAGGATAGGCGGCAGGATTAGAACTGGGCCCCCCCCGGTGACTCAGTGAGACAAGCCAGTAGCCCTTGACTTACAGCAGTTCATTTAGTGACCGTTCAAAGTTACTTCTTTGAACAGCACTGGGGGAAAAAACAACTTGCGACCATTTTACACACTTATAACCGTTGCAGCATCCCCAAGCAACATTCGGATGCTCGGCAACTGACTCAGATTTATGACAGTTTCGGGTCCCAGGGTCATGCGATATATACCCTGTTGCAACCTACTGTCAGTGGGGAAGCCAGACTCACTTAACAACGGTGTGATTAGTGGATGGATTTGCTTAACAAATATGGCAAGAAAAAAACGTAAAATGGGGCAAAGCTCACTTAACAAATATCTTGCTTAACGTACATTTTTGGGCACAATTACTGTAAGTCAAGACCTACCTATATATTAGTGTGTGCTTGGATACAGCGGTGTTTTCTTAGCATACACATCAGCAGGTGTGAATGTGAAATGAGACTTCCCAGTGTACTTCTGGACAAATCTTTCTCAACCTTAACAACTTTTAAGATGGGTGGGATTTAACTCCCAGAATCCTTCAGCCAGCATGTTTTCAGATGGGTAGACTTCAACTCCCAGAATTCCCCAGTCAGCAGCCTTTAAGATGGGTGGACTTTAACCCCTCCTTTCGAATTGTAAGCCGCCCTGAGTCCCCCCAGGGAAAAGGGCGGCATATAAATAAACTACAAAAAAAAACCTCCCAGAATTCCCTAGTCAGCATGTTTTGAGGTGGGTGAACTTCAGTTCCCAGAATTCCCCAGCCAGCCTGCTTTAAGAGGGGTGGACTTCAACTCCCAGAATTCCCCAGCCAGCATACTTTGAGATGGATGGGCTTCAAATCCCAGAATTCCCCAGTCTGAAGTAACTGGCTGGGGGAACTCTGGAAGCTGAAGTCCACTCATCTTAAAGTCGCCAAGGTTGTGAAACCCTTCTCTGGAGTAGAGCCATAGTAATTAAGCCGAGGTGCCCGAGGGCATGGCCGTTGTGGCTAATAGAAGAGCATCTTGTGGATAGAGATAATTCTAAAGCTAGGGAAAATAACATTTCTCTTTTTCCCTTGTGGATGCTCACCATGCTCACTCTAGGCGTCTCTTATAACCACCTGAAGAAGAGTTCTGGAAAATTCAGAAGCTTGCCTTTTGTTGTTGTTGTTGTTGTTGTTGATGATGATGATGATGATTTAGTATCGCCCTACTCGGTCCCGTAGCATCTGGTTCTCTTCTCCTATTGGCCCCTGCTGTGTAGTAGAGCAAAGGTGGGATGTGAAAGGTTACCGTGGAAAAAACCTTCATTCTCAGAAATTCCTCTTTGCACGAGTGGAGTGGGGGGAGGCCCCCTAAGTCTCTGATGGCGAACTTATGACACGCGTGTCAGAGGGGGCACACAAAGCCCTCTCTGTGGGCGTGCATGCCATCGCCAGCTGATCTTTGCGGGTGCTGGAGCTCCGGAAAACGGCCTGAAAACTGCCCGAAAAATGGCAAAAAAACAGGCCAGGTTTTTTTTTTGGGGGGGGGGGGGTTAGGCCAAAAACAGCCAAAAAAACCAGGCATATTAATGCCGGCCAGCTGGTCTTCGGGATTCTGGTGTTCCAGGCA